AATTTGCAGAACCAGGGATTAAACTCAGACCCTTGTGCTTGCCAAGGAAGTGCTTGTTCTACTGGGCCATCTCCCTGGCCCCCGATCTCTCCTTTATTCCAAGTATCTTTCCTATTGTTAGCTGAGAGGAAAAAAATATAACAAATTTATAATACATAACTAAGGTATGTGCTTATTTATTTATTTATTGAACTGTGCCTGGGATCAAACCTAGGGTCTCTTGTGTGCTAGACAAGCACTCTGCCTCTGAGCTGGACCTTCAGCCCCTGAGCTAATAATTTCAATAGCTGTGTTTTTCAGTTTCAAAACTTCATTTCAGCAGTTTGGACACTCTCTCAGCTGGCTTCCTCTTGCTCTTGTGTCATCTGTAGCCTGAAATTAGGGTGAATGGGAGGAGATTTTACATATTCTAGTGGAGCAAGAAATTAGGTGGAGTCCTTGGGAGAAAAAACTCTTTCCCTCTTGGAGGCCAGGTCACTGTGGACTTTGTTTCTTCCTGGGTGCAGTTTGATGACACTGCAGCAGCTGGAGCCTGTGACAGGACTTCTTGCTTCAGTGAAGGCTGCTCTTGAGTTCCTGAGGGCTTCAGCCTCTGTGTCTTCGATGGTCCTGGACAGCCCACCAGGGTAGTAGGCCACCCCTATTTCCACTGAAGAGCCTCTGCCACCTGCCACCTCCCTACTTGGTGAGGCTGTAGGTTCAGTGGTTCAAAGAGACTTAGGGTAGCTTGGATGGGTGGCCCTCGGGACCTCCTCTGATCATGTCACGCTCACGTTACATGGTTGTCAGTGGTGCATCACTCTTTACTTTTGCCAAATTCATTTATTAAAGCATCTCACACTTCCCATATCACCTTTACACTAGAGGAAAAATCACAGAAGTTGAGTGCTTTTGTTTTAGGATTTCATATGGCATAGTGGGAAAATCCTCACCTCCCAACAACTGCAAACAACAAACACACGCATGTCTGATTTCCAGCATTTTTATATTGAAAACAAGTATTTTATCCTAAGATCATGAGCTATGTTTCAGACAGAGAGACTGATATGAAGCATGATTTATAAAGGAAGATAAAATGTGTCCGCTTAGTGTCTGTGAGCTATTATGTTGCTTATAAGGGACCTCTGGTTTCCCAGAATCGTATTTCCCAGGCCATCCTTTCGCTTTTTACACACAGGAAAGGGTGATATTTTAAAAACTTCAATGATTTATCCACTTTAACTTGACCATTGATTGATTGTTGAGTCTGTTGCTTTGGCCTGAAACAAATAGCAGGAAGAATCCCTACTGAATAATATGGAAAATGCATTTTGGAAAACTGTAATATATTTTCAAACCTATGTTAAATAAATTGATACCATATAAAGCTTATGAAAAAAGACCACTTTGGAGTTAGGGTTATTTTTTTTCACAACTGGCTCAATCTATCTTTTTTTTATTCCAAAGTACATCAGAGAGGGCAGTTACTTAACTGAATCAGTTGACAGTGCTCACTGTTATGGTGGTGAAAGCCCACAAATTGCACCATGGCAAAGCCCTCTATGCTGTTGACTTCTTGAGTTCACTGAGCTCAAGAGAATCTCTTCCACACATGCAGATAGATCACAGGTTTCTCATCCAATGCATTGCAGTTTGCTGGCTCTATAGCTGGGAATGCAGGCCTTGCATTGTGACCCAGTTTCTCTAGAGGAAGGTAGGTGGAGAGATAACACTGAAAGTGACCCCTTATTATTGTATTAACTATCTGGAGATAGCATTGTAAGGCGTAAATTGTTGTGAGCCATCAGGCACAGTCCAGCTTCTGATTTTAACTGTGAAACAAAAGGAAGATATTTCTGAGGCAATGACAAGGATGAAGAGGTCTGTGAACTGAAGTAACTGGTTCAAAATAAAAATTTTTATTTTGAATGTGCTTGTCAAAATGCTGGGAAGAGAGGAGAGTTACCTTAAGGGAATATGTGATTTTAAGTTTAAAATCTTTTTTTTCATAATTTTATTGAGAAATAAATAGCAATGAGACAGTTTCAAACCAAATTGGTAAGAGAGTTTCAATAATTAACACATTGCATACATTCTTCCTAAGAATGGTTAATTGCTGTATAAGATATGGACATGATATCCTATTTACAAACACTATTAGAACAAATCCCTCTATTCATTAAGAGAATGTAACTATATATCTATCCTTACCACTTTGAATACACAGATACAAAATATTCAAAGACTTTCATCGTGGCTGAGGATGTCCCTATTTCTAGGTTCCAGCAAAATGATTCTTGCAATCCAGTTTACATAAGTCCCTACTTTTGGAGAACACTGAAAGTGCAATGCTTTGTGTT